TAATGTTTTTTGACATGTTTAAATGATTTTGTAAACTCTAGTTAAAAACTTTAAAACTGCTATGTGCTGAACATCACACTCACTAACTCTGCCTCATCAGCCCCTCAGGCAGAATGTAAGGACTAATGTTGGTCAGAACCCAGTTTAACTGATATTTCAATCCCATACTTTTACATTTTAGCATAAAGTGGATAATTTTGTTTATTGTGGCTATATTTTTTTCCAGACGTTAAATGCGATGTCCTCACACAGTTTTCAAATGAAATACTGTACATGTAGCATACAGTGCGTGAAACCATAATGGTTAATATATTTAATCACCCTGAATCCACAGGGACAGTAAGTACTTTTCACTAAACTGGGAAGCAGTGACATTTCAATTACAACCAATTACTTTTTCCAAGGGGCAGTTGGAAAATAAACACCGACAATGAAGAGTCCTGTTAACACGATGTCTCTGATACTCCTGCATTCCCTTCGTCAATACGTCAGGTGATGTTACTTTGTGACCCCTCATTTTAATTTATTAAATGCATCTCCTTCCCCCCAAAACTGTCATCCTCCCCTTGTTCCAATCTTGTTTTCCCTGCTCACCTAGGGAGGTGTTTTTCCCCACTCACTCATCATTTTCTAACTTTGTCTTGACTTGGTTTTGGAGCCTTTACTGTGTCTTGTAGGGTTTGGGTGTTAAGTCCAAGCCACAGTGGCATTCCAACCTCACCACAATCCTCTCTTGTGGTGCTGGAGGCAGGATAGATGTTAAGCTGCTAATCTGAAAGGTTGTTTCCAGGCAGTGAGTGGATTTATTGTATGTGTTGTTCAGGAAGCAAGAGTAACCTCAGTGGATCCTTCTGTGTCATTAGTTTTTGTTCAGCTGTTGGAGTAATTTCATATTTTTACAACCATGTATAAACACCAAAGACTGCTGTTTGTGTAGGTACTTTCAGTCTGTGTTCAAAGAACCAAGTCAAGAGTATTCTAGAATGCTTTGTTTGGTCTTTCCCTGACAAACTAAGTGAAGGTAAAAATAAAATTATCAAACCTCATATCCTTGTCAAATATATTAAGCTTGACCACACTGCATAACCAGACTTAGACAAGGTTGAAAGTGTTCTCTAGCATGTGAAATTTGGTCAGAGCATAGTCCATATGTGAAACGCAGCACTTTAACAGGGAACAGAGTAATCCAGAATATCATACCTTGGCTTAGTTAATGCCCATTCATAAAAATGTGGACAGAACTGAGTTAAGAAACTATAGAACAATCAGTGTTATTTCTGGTACTGTTAAAGTTATGGAAATGTGACTTCATTGAAGAATAATTGAATAAACTTATGTAACTGGTTAATGAGAACAGTGCACTTGATTAAAGGGAACCACCTGTAACTGGGCTGATGTAAGCAGTGGTATGCTACAGGCACATCTATTTTAGGTCCATTGCTTTGAAATAAATTTAAATTTAAGATGAGATTAGAAATAGATCTTTGCAAAGTACAAAGATAGGTAGCACCTGATTTTTAGCACTGATGAGTGCAAAGTGATCCACATTGACAGCAGGAACTATATATACCACATGGCTGAGTCTGGGCAGAAGGACACTAAATACACAGTTTGTGGTTACAGAACAAATAATATGCAGTTTAAAATTTGAGAAGTTATTTAAAGCTTTGCAATGTAGTAGTGATAATCTATGTGGAATTTTGTTCAGTTTTGGTAACCATACCACCAAAAGGATTTCGTTTTGGATATCTGCGGATATCCTAGCCTAGCCTCATGGAATTGTCATCTATAGTCTGGACTGGTTAAGAAATCGAAATCTCTTCAATCAAAAGGTCAAGTGCAAATTTGATCTAAATAAAAACGTAAGGGTTATAGATAGGGGTCAAGCCAATGTACTGTTTTTCACTCTGAGTGAAACAAAAATATAGGGTCACAACTGGAAAGTAAAAGGGTGTTAATTTAGGATGAAGAATAGGAAGAACTTATTTGAAGTGGTGGGTATCTGGAGCAGGCTTCTGGTCAGGTGTTTAAAGCCCAAATTCCTCAATAAATGGCTAGAATAAATTGTAGATTCAATACTAAACTACCAAGCAAACAGCGTGGTGGCAGAATGGTGTATTTTGTACAATTCTTATGTTGTTCTGATTCAGTATAATCTGACTGGCCATTAAATAATTTCCAACTTCATTGGTCTCTGTAAGGAAGGAAAAGTGTCAAGGCAGGAACATTGCCCGAGTGTAGGTGGTCTTTAAGGTAATTTCAGAGCATCTCAGTAACGGTAACAACAGGGTAAAAGCTATTGGTGTCTATAAGAGCGGAATGGTTCCCTGTGTGAAGAGAGAAAGCAGTGAAGTCCTGGGTTAGCCGCAGGTAGCGAGGGAGGGGCATGGTGCTTAATGGAGAATTCTATTGCTAGGGTGAGCATCAGGTGCCAGGCGCTGTGAATCTGCGAGACCACAGCCAACACTTGTACCTCTGTGCACAATGCAGGGAGGGGTGGCGATTTCTCCGTGGTGTGCCTGGAGCGGACTAGGGCCTGGCAGGGAAGCCAGCGGGGAGGCTGTAATCCTCAGCCCAGGCAGGTCAAAACCGCACAAGAGATTAAAGCAACAGTATCTCACCCCCCCCATCCTCCTTCCCATTCGACATACCTAGCTGCTAATTTCAACCTGTCACCAAATTCAAAGAGGTGCCGAACATTTTTCTTTCTTTTCTTTCCTGAGACTGAAGGTATGTTTCTTTGACATTAAACTATTTGTCTGCATGAATGATTTTTTTTTCCTTCACTGAAGAGCTTATGCTTTGTCACCCTTTGTAATTTTGTATCTCTGGTCATTTGTCAGGCCTTTCATTTCTTTTATTTTTTTAAAGCTTTCAGTAACACTTAAAACCAACAGTTCTGCCTAATTGATGATTAAGAGGCTAAATAAAAATGACTTTCAGATCTTTAAGGAGTTCTTTTTTTTAGCTTTTGATTTATTTTAGCTAAGATTGTATGTAAGAACTATGTCTTCGACAGAGCATCATACTTTTGTTATAAAAATACTTATTTGATTGAGCATTGTGGAAGGAAAAAAGGTTTTGATTGATATCGAATAAGTCTCTTTGGATTGGGGCATCAGTAAAATAATGATAAAACTTAATTTATTGGCCGATGTGTTTTCACATTTGATGATGTAATAATTTAATGCAGAATTATCTAAGTTGCATTAGAATATCATTTATATAAAATGTAGGTTATATTGTTTTGGGGAATTAAAATCAAACCACATTTTTGGGGAATCTTGAGTTGAATTGTCTGAATCATGAAATTGCAAGGATGGATCGGTTTAAGGTTCTTTTAATATAGAAACATGGACTTTTTAAGGTCCAATTCAAAGAAAGACTAGACTGGTGTGATGATAAAGTCTTTGAGACAATTGCACTGCTTCAGTCAAGAGCCACACAATGGTTGTCCGAGGATGAATGAGCCATTTTACTAAACATGCGGAACCCTTCTTTAGCTATAGCTGCTAAGTCACTTCCCTTGTCCTTTGTTAAAGACTAATTTGAGGCCTGACGAGCTAGAGTTGGCATCACTTTAAGAGATTTTGTCACTTTAAGACATATGATACATGATCAATGGTTGTCCTCTAGTAACTGCTGTCCTTTAATTTTGTCTGATATTCTTACAGTTAAAAAATGTTCTGCTTTTCATCACTTGGTGTTTAAGTGCAAATTATTTGTGATTGCTTGACGAATTGAGGTGATGACTATTTTTCTGTCTCTGTGCTTCCTGATTTTGGTTTGTTCACTCGGTCATGCAAAAAAATCCATTATTTCTTCATATTTCTTCGTTTATAATGTGGATAATGTAATTTGTTTAAGCAGTTCCCCGGATTTCATTCAGTTAAAACATAATCAGTAGGTTAAAAGGGCTGACAACCCAGCCCAGAATTTCTGGTTTTCAACAAAATTTATATTTCTCAGGAATATACAGTGTGGTGTATATGGTTTGACTACCACATGATTTGTTATTTTAAAGATGGCGCCTGTTTTAGGTACTGTCTTGGACTTTTTACCTTTATGTTCTGGGGCATAAGAAGGTACAGATCCACTGGGAACCTTTACTACATGATCATGACCCCATGCTTAAGTCTCACAGTGGTGCCAACTGGGCACTGACCTCTTGGATTCAGCATTCCCTTCATGTGCCAGGGTTGTGATCTGTTACAGCTCCATAGTGTTCAGACTTTCATGTTTGTTACCGTTGAAAAGAAATGTTTGAGTAGCAGTGTGCCAATTATTGGCTTTACCAAGCTGTTAAAGAGCATCTAGTTAAGATGTTTTTATGTTTTTGTATACCTTTTCAAAACGTGTTGAAGAGGTGTCCTTTACGTTTTAATGTAGCAGTTACTTTAATACTATGGTTGTACTTTCCAGTACACCTACCTTTAGAATATTAAAAAAAATACAGCCATTCTGTGATATTTGTTGTCACTCAGTTTACATGTTCATAAACATGCAGTTATGGAGAGCTTTTCACTACAAGGAAGGTGTGTACTTCATAGCTGAATGGAAGACGGCATCCTAATAACATGACCTCCTGTTACAGCCTCCCCCATAAGCTCCTCAGTGTGTTCTCAGGATTTTTACACATTTACCTTGTAACCAGCTACTAGGGCAGACGGTGATGAAGTATTATAAGAGAGCCATGGTAATTCTTACTTTGACTATTTGGTGCTCAGTCAGAATAGAAATAAGTGATACTGGATGATGGAATGAATCAGAAGGTTTTATGTGTGAAGTATTGGAAAGTGTTCGAGGAACGGCTTACATTGGTAAATCGAGAAGGGGGGTGTAAAGTGGTTCTCTGCGTCTCGGTTAAGCCCCGTGTCCCTCGTGCCTGACCGTAGGGTGGGAGTAAATTGGCGCGAGATGCGAGATGGACCTCGGGCTGTGCGCTCCGATCACCGGGGCAGATGTGCTGACTGATGGGTTTCTTTTCTGCCCCCCTGCAGCTCCTTTGTGACTGGCACCGCCTGCTGTGGGCATGTGGCCCCCCTGCGCATCTGGGACTTAGAAAGGTAACTGAGCAGCAAGCATACAGCTTTTTATATCGGAAGAAAACGGCAGAATTGTATCTCGTTGACGTCGGTGTTTTCTGTTCTGTTCCTCTCAAACTTGTCATTATTGTTCAATGTCCAGAAAGTTCCATTGTTCATCATCTATCTACCCCATTGATTTATTATTGTAGCAAATATTTTTGTAATTCTATCTTCCTGGGGTCATATCTTCCCATTCTCCCCTAAATCCTGTTTTGTTTTATTTCTATGGCATAAAATGATTTGCTGGTTGCTGGCTGTCTTCTAACCAGAAGAGCTAAAGAAACTTGAATTCCTTAACGGAGAAGAGTGGTCTTAACTGTATAGAGAGATCTGAGTTTGCCCAGATTACAGATTTGGCATTCTCTCGCATTTTCATACTGAAGTATAGCGGAACGATGTTTTCCCTTAATCAACCAAGTCATAATTAAAAGGAAAAAAGTCACAACAAAACATACTAATTTGGGAAATTTTCTGACTAACACAGTCCGTGTTATCAGATAATATATTTAACAAGGTATCACAAATGCACACCAAGATTTTAAAATGTTTATGGAACAGAACAGATGAGACTGAAAACACCAGGGGTGGTAGGATCAGAGATCAATTAAAGTGTAAACTGTTTTAATGTAATTGCCAATCCACTCACTTTTGGGACCTGTAACTTGCAATTTGTTTTGGGGTGGTTCAAAGCAGGTATGAAAATTCTTATTTGTGAAAGCTAAAGGCTTAAACTTGATACAGCCTGACTAGCTTGTGTAAATCCTAAGCTTTACCTGCAGAATTAAATGTTTAACACTGTGTTCGGGGGGAGAAAAGAGAGTGGAGATTTGTGCAGAAAATGACAAGGAAATTGCAGGAGGTAAATGCTGAAAGAAGGGAGGGGGGGGCACCTTTCACTGGGGATACAGCAACTCAGACCTATTCTTTCTACTGCTGGGTAAAAAATAAAATGAAGCAGTAGAAAACAGGATTAGGGTAATGAACAGACAGGATTTAGTTTGATCTTTCAATAGCAGCCAGTGAGTGACAGTGTGATGGACACAGTTCTCAAATGCAACACCACTGGCAGATGTGCTTACAGCTAAATAGGATTTCTCACCCAGCCCAAGCCCAAAGGCTTGTTTTTTTTTTTTTTAGAAGAATTTCCACCATATTCTCAAATGGATCATTCATAGATTTAAAAAGAGCCAGTGGCCATATCCGTTAGTTTTACCCTCCTCAGAAAAATGTGTATGGGTTCAATGCACAGTGGTCCTGGGTTTTGCATGGGTTTGGGGTTTTGGGCAAACAGGCGAAACTGTCCTTGGCAATTGGCAAATGTGTGAAAACATGTTTCTGTGGCAGATAATTTTGGAATACGATGTGTAGTTCTGGACTGTACGCAGTAGACATAAAGACAGAATAGTTTTAGTGGGGTTAAAATATGGATTTGTTATTAGCGGACTGAGACTAGGATACGCAAGCTATTGGAATTTTGGCAAAACTGGGAAGGTATAAAACGGAATTTAAAAAGTAATTGGCGATTGCGATATTAAGGTTCTCCTGAAATTAATTTTTATTTTTTTAACAGTGATTTTTAAACAGGACTGTGGGCTTGTTTTAATAAATTGCTCGCCAGTGGCACATTTTGACTTCAGAGTGCCAGCCGTGTAGTAGAGCGCGGAGATTCTTTCTGTGCTCTGAAGTTTCGACAGGGTGGTCATATATTCGGTCCGACTGTAGCCGGGCTTTTGTTTGGATGGGGGGTCAGCTAGGACATCCCTGGCTATCCAGGCAGCAGAGGACTCGCTTGACAGCACGGCTTTAAGCAGTATTACATTTTTTTTTAAGTTTGGAGACCGACAAAGAAGCTCAAGGATTCCACATGTGTGCCCCCCACTGTAGACGCCAAAACCTGCTGCCAGTGATGGGCACGTCCCTGTGCTATCAAGATGCCCGCTGCTGTGCTGGTCATGCCCCCAAGCATTCACTGTACCAGCTCTGATCATCGTGAAAGAAGAGGGGGATGAGGGGGAAGTTATTACTGCTGTTATTATTAATTTATTTCTAAAGCACCTTTCCACACCCAAGGACACCCTACTTGGTGAGAAAGAAAAAAACGTCATGGGGAAGTTAAATTGGAAAAAAAAAGAAAGCACATACAGGTTTATATAGATAGAATGTAGGGCATGGGCCTTGGTAAAAAGGTTAGTTTGGAGTTTGGATTTGAAGACTGTCAAAGAAGTTGTCTCTCGTGGAGTCTGAGGAAGGGCATTCTGTAACAGTGGAGCAGTGACAGCAAAGGCACAGTCCCCAGATGCCTGTGCTTTAGTCCTGGGTACAGTGAGCAGAGGACCAGCCTCAACTGAACGGAGCCTCCAGGAGGCAGTGTAAGCATGAAGGAGTTTGGAGTTGTATGATGGAGCCAGATTCTTTAAAGCCTTAGAAGTCAGTAATCCCATATTGAATATGTGGCTTTATAGGCAACCAATGTAGAGACTTAAGTGTAGGAGTGATACATTACTAAGGTCTGGTGTGAGTTAGAAGTCTAGCTGCAGAGGTTTGGACATATTGCCACTTACTGAACAAGTATTAGGGAGTCCATAGAGTAAAGAGTTGCAGAAATCGAGCCTGGGTGTTATTAGTGCATTAATCAGGCACTCCGCATCAAGCATTGATAGACATTGCCTTATGCAGACAATTTCTGAGGTGAAAAAAAGATGTCTTTGTGCATAAGAAATGTGTGTTGCAATGGGGAGTCTGAACACAGTATGGTCTTTTTATAAATATATCATTAGCCATTTGCTGGTTTAAGCTGTTGTGTGCCGTTGGAACAGCCGCACTTACAGTGTGCTGGCAGAGTCCCTCCCGTGCACCCGCTCCTTCTCCCCCTGTTTTGTTACAGATGTCAAATTTGTATCCCTTTTATCTGTTCTTGTCCTGTAATCAGGTACACCTTGTTAGCAGTACAAAGCAGTTAGCCGCAGCAGGGCTCTTTGACTCTTTGTGCTGGGAGTGCATGTTATTTTTTTGTGAAATAGTGGTGGATGGGGGCTGCGTTTTTGTCTCTTATGTGGGCTGAGCTGTGCCTGCCAATCTCCCAGAATCCTGGGGACTGCCCACCCCTCATCCTTATGGTCTACCTAGCAGCAGCCAGTGCCTCACATTTCCACTTGCTTTTTCATGGCTGGTTCTTAAGCCAGCATGACACACTTTGCCCTCTTTAGTAGGGTACCCAAAACAAAAGCCTTCAGTCAAGTTCCTCTAAGGATGTCAGTGCTACAGCCGTCACAATTATACTATACAAAAAAATAGATTCCTACAGTGTAATGCTCAGTAACAAAACAAACAAAATGTCCTGCATCCTTTGGAGTGAGGCATTGCCACCGAGTGAGGATGTAGTGTTGTGTGATGTAGTGAATTGTATTCCAGCAGGTTTTACTGCATAGTAGGCTTAAAGGAGAAATGGCTATTTGAAATAACTGGCTGTAAGAAAATAGGAGTAACTGCTGGTATGTAGGAGTACTCAAGATGAGCAAAAACCCCACTATTAGTGCAAAATCGGCCAAGTGCAAATTGGGCTGGGTGGGATACAGTCACAGCTGGGAAAGGGAGGTCCTTGAACTGCCACACGACAGCAAGCCCTGTTTTCTGGCTGTGAAGCCAAGAAGTGGTCAGAAAGCAATCTGCAATTCAAAATTGGGCTTGTAGGATATACAATGGACAGGTAGTTTTCTTGTTCTCCAAAAGGTTAGAGAGGATAGGGCCTACTTCACTAATTTCACATTTGCATTTTGAATAAACAGGACAGTGGCTGAATGATTCTTCTATTAGAAATTCGCAGCACAAGCAGGTGTTTACAATATGAAAGGGGGTTGCTTTCTTTTTTTATGTGTACTACCATGTTATTGATTGTTTTTGGAGTTGAAAATGCCGTTCTCTGCGAGTCTGTTTGGGTTAATATCGGATATTCCCTTTGTAAAGCTGTGCTTGGGGTTCTTTTGTCTGAATGAGCTACAGCAGTTAGTCTTAAAGTGCTTTCCATAATCAGATTTGTAAGAAATCACAGCAGAAGCTGGGCTTTTATTTGATATATTATGGAGGTTCGTGAGACAACAGGTATTTTCAAACTTTTGTTTTTCCTTCAGTGCTGTTTGATAACATTTCAGCCCAGTCTTTGGAACAAGATAAAAGTCTGAAGATGGGGGCTGTGTCTTTTGTTCAGCAGTTGTCACAAATACAGAGGAACAGCCTTGTTCATTACAGCCATTGTTCGCAGCCCAGACAAGGCTACCACAGATTCCTTGCAGCATTTATTCTTGTGGTTTGGTTTTAACTTTTCAGCCACTCACTTTGACTGGACTTGTGAATATAGGACTTATTTAATAAATTCCTGTAGAAGGATTTTGAATTCTAACAGTAGAAGTGCCCTTCAAAGCAGGCTTAGGTATGCAGAGAATGTCTAAACCATGACTATAAATCTATGCTACTGAGAAGGAAATGTTTGGAGACTCCTGCAGTAAGAAAAAAACACTTTTCATACTTGGGTGTGTTTATCGTCATTTCAACAAGATATTGCATTTTTTTCTTTGTATGTGTACTGACATTGTAAAAAGTCTTAACACATGGGGTGTTTCTGCAGTATACCAAGTCTCATAGAATGATTTCCTTTCTTTGCAATTCCACAACAGTGTGAACAAACGTGAATTTTATAATGATCCAGCTGATCTTGTTGACTGTATTGTGCTCTAAAAGTCTTAACAGTGTACGTCACCTTGAGTGCACAGATGCAACCTTCAGTTTTCATTTCTGTGTAGGTTTGTGACCTGGCTCTACTGATTATGGATGAAGAGATTGAAACAAGTTTGGTCACTGAGTGCATATTTCATCTTTATTTAAATTGCCATTGCCATATGACAAGCCAAAAGATATCAATAATGCCACTATTATAGCAGTGTTCTGCCTAGACTTGCACGTTAAGCATCAGTGGCATCTTCAAT